AATGTTTTGTCAAATATTATTCCTAGAATTTTAAGTTTAGTGACATTTTGTATAACATTATTCTTATATATAAAATTGAAACCTGTACAACTGGTTTTTTGCATATAAGTAAAACGATCTGTTAACTTCGTTTTTAAATATTTTTATTTCCCTTGCACTTAACAAGGGCAGCCGGTCTCAGCGGAAGAGTTATTATAACTAAATTACACAAGAGCGGCGCTAGCGTCTAAATACCTACACTGTTTGCCCTAACTTTAGTCGCTGCACGTTATTAGCCGCGTGAACCAATTCCGCTTACTGTCTTGTATTTGGTTTGTTGTTGTCACGCGCAAAGTTGTAGACGCGCCGTCAGCAGATTAAAGCAATATTGTGAAGCAATATTTTGGCCGGATGATTGGCTACTTGTGTTAACTAGTTGTTGTCATGTGCAAAGCTGTAAACGCGCCGTCAGCAGATTTCGTTGAAGCAATATTTTGGCCGGATGATTGGTTACCTGTGTTAACTTATATGTAAAGTGTTCCATTTTGTGTAAGATATATTAGCACCTGAGCTGAGGGCCCAGACAGAAAGATCGTCCAGAATGTTAGTAAATAAGCTTTTTATTTCAATCAAATTATTATTTTTCGAAAATATTAGCACATCATCTGCGTAGATAGAATGTTCAATTTTATACTTTTTAAGAATGTTATTCATTTCTTCAAAAGATATAATAAAGAATATGACTGAAATAGGGAAGCCCTGTGCAATACCATTGAGTATGCGTTATTAACTTTGACTCGAAAAGTCCTGAAAGATAGTATACTTTTAACGATGTTAAAGAATTTTTTCCGACATTCCATTTTTTTAACTGCCCTAAAACGACGTGTATGCTTATTCTGTCGAATGCTTTTTCGAAATCGAGGGCTAAAATGGTGATATGATTTCGATTCGAGATTGCTGTTGTCATAAAATGTTCGAGATGTAACAGAATATCTGCGGTTCCTTGTCCTTGCTTGAAAGCCACTTGGCTAGAGCTAATGTGTTTTTCTTTTAAGGCGAACCACATAAGGCGCCTGGCTAAAATTTTTTCCAGGACTTTACTAATGCAAGGAAGCAGGGAAATAGGCCGGTAACTTTTAATATTGTCCTGAGGTTTGTTTGGCTTTAAAATCGGAACAATATCCGCGTTTCTCCAACTTTGAGGGTAGACTCTTCTTTCAAAAATTTTGTTAAATAGTTCTAATATCCTGATCTTCATCTCAATCGAAACATTTTTGATTATTGGGTAGGAAATCCTGTCATAGGAGAACTTGATCAAGTTCAAAGACTCTTTAGTATATATGATTGCATTTCAATTTTTTTCACGTGCATAATCACATAAAGAGTTTGAATTAATAATATTTATTATTGTGGTGTCTGATTCCAATCTATAAGATCACAAAATTAAGTTATAAATTAAAGTATAAAATAATTTTAATAAAAAATATGAATACATACCATTAAAAACCCGGTCGAATTGTGAGATCTTTTCAACAAGATTTTTGTTTCAAATATACAAAATACCTTTGAACAAAGCATTTGGTACAGTAAAAATATTTTCCCCTTTTATTGATAAAAATGTGAATATTAGAAGACAGCTAGCAATGTGAACATTGCGATATTTTTGGTCTGCTTTAATTTACTTTTTGAATTTTACATTATGTTTGGCATTCGAGGAATAGTACTACTGACACTCTCTATAGTTAATACGAGCAACCAGGAAGTAGAGAGTAAGGTCCATGGTTCTTCCGGATTGAGGCGAATTAACTAAGTCCAAGCAAAGAACCTTATAATTATTCGGATTCTTATATATTGGGTGCATGCATGAATTTATGCGGTTTTTTTTGAAAATTAAGAATTTATTGTGAAAAAATGATTTTAATTGTCTGGAAATGGTTGCTTGCCTAACTCCTATTACTTTTGCAAGCTCTTCTTGCGTCAAGCATACATCTGCGTCGAGCAATGCCTCCAATTCTTCGTCTTGAAGTTTTTTTTGCTCCCTTCGTTCTCCGTCGTGTAAGTTGAAACTGCCACTTTTAAACTGTGCAAACCATTTTTGGCATGTTCGTTGGGCTAAAGCATGGTCACCATTAACGTTCAGTGAAATACGATGGCTTTCGGAGGCACTTTTCTTCATGTTAAAGTAATGAAGAAGAACTCCCAGCAAAAACACCTTATCTGGTACAAATTTCGACATTTTCAAATGAATGAAACAAATTGTTGTTCACGCTAAAACAAATGACATCTACTGAAAACGACGCGAAATGACAGTACCTTTGAAATGAATATAGCCACAGATGAGCACGACGCGAAATAATACTAGTAGAGCTCTCTCTTAGAAAACCGCACGAATTAATGTTTATACCTAATATTTCGGATGAGATAATAACCAGATGTAGTACGTAAGCGATTGTCCCTCCTTCACACGCTTCCTTAGCATAAGATGCTGCTTTTATAGGATAGGAATTTTTATAATACTAACCTACAATATATATGTATGTTTATTCTTACTTCACGCTGTGACACTGGCCAATCAGTCACATCCATACGCAAAATTTGGACACGTAACAATTTTCAGTGGAAAATATAATCGAGGGAAAGTATAGGAAAATAGTACTAAGTGGTTAACAAAAACATGCGATCCCCGCTGGGAGGTGCACCATTCATACATATATAACACATTCACATATGCCGCCGTCTATACAATTCTCTTCAGAAAAACTATATAATAAAGGCTACTTTTTAAATAAATGCTCTAACTTCATTTAAATTACCTTATTATACGAGGTGTGTTCAAAAAGTATCGCGAACTTTGAATTTTCGCGGGTTACGTATAATCGAAATTCTATTTTTTTGCAGCGTTATGTTGGTACTCATGTCTGTCACTTATGCCGACAAGCTCGGCCATTTTGAATGTTAACTTAATTGTTGACAGCTGCTTTGCTTGCACGTGTTTTGGATGGTCTACGATTTTTACTTATGGATCAAAGAACCTGTATCAAATTTTGTGTGAAAAACGAAATTAAGTGAGCGGATGCATTCCGAATGTTTACTGTGGCTTACGGAGAAGCTACCTTGGACCGATGTTTATCGGTGGTACAAAATGTTCTCAGAAGGCCGAGAAGATGTGAACGACGAAGAGCGTGCCGGACGCCCGAGCATTTCGACAACAGACGAAAAAATTAATTGCAGGAGCGTGGTGCATCATGTGTTCTTGCCACAGGATATTACCTGCAAGTTATGCACAGTTTGCGCGGAGCAATCCGCCAGAAACGCCTGGATTTGTGAAAGAACAAAAATTGGCTTTTGACCACGATAACGCCCCTGCTCATACATCGTTGCTTGTGCGCGACTTTTTGGCCAAAGACAACACACTAATGATGCCTCAGCCACCGTATTCCCCAGATCTGGCCCCCTGTGACTTTTTCTTGTTCCCGAAACTGAAGAGGCCCATGAAAAGACGGCGTTACGCTACGATTGAAGAGATAAAGACGGCATCGAAGGAGGAGCTGAACAAGATAAAAAAAATGATTTTTTGAAGTGCTTCGAAAAACCATTGGCACAAGTGTATAATATCTCATGGGGATTACTTTGAAGGCCACAAAATAGATATTCATGAATTAATAAATAATTTTTGACAAAACACAAAGTATGCGATATTTTTTTAACACACCTCGTATACTACCTTCTCACAAACATAAATAGTTTAACAATTATTTATTATGTTAATTTCTGTAATTGTACCATTAAAACCTTTTTATATTGAACATATAGCTTTAAGAAATAATATAAATTCTTGAGTTTATAAGTCAAAAGATCTCTCAGCTGCGAATGCGATGACTGTTTGTTTGATGACAGGAGATTTTTCGTTTTGCCCTCGTAAACTACCAGGCCCATATATAGTTGTACACTCTTGTAAAAGATTGTACGTGCTCTATTCATCTCTGCAGCTCTTAAACTTTTCTCTAGCATCACATTAAAGAAATTTAATATTCAGTCAATGATTTAGACAAATTATGTAAGACTTAAAGCTATAAATGTGTACTAAAAATAAAAAGCATTAAGGATAGAGTCAAAACGAAATCTCGGGAATGCGAAATCAAGATCAAGTCTTCTAGAGATTCTATTTAATTCACAGAGTGCGCTAAGAATAGGATTATAATTATGATAATTGGCTTTAATTACATCTAAATAGAACGGATAATGAGAGTTCTATGAGGAACATTATTGCTAAGTTGCTGAAGCAGCTCTGGACAGCCGACTAAGCCATTGATGATGCCATAATAATAGATCGTCCAAGAGCAAGAGATTTCAGATTTTCAGCATACATTGAGAAGTATAAGAAGGTCGGGAATCAGAGAAATGAAGCGGAGCAAGAGCGAAACGAATAAACCTACGTTGGACGGTTTCAAGTCTAAAGGAATGTTTAGAAGAAATTGGATTCCAAATTTAGCTAGCCTACTCCAGCTTTGAACGAACTAAAGAGTTATATAAAATTTTTCGCGTGTAGGGATCTTTGTAATCACCACTCTTTTTTTGTGAAAGTGTTTAATTGTAATTCTGGCCAATGTTATTCAGAATAATAACCCGTTATCCCTCACCAACAAAACAGAGGTGTTTCAGCACCAATTTTAAGAGCCGCCATTTAAAAAAAAATATTTTCTAATCAATTTTTTTATACGATTAGTTATCTATAAAAACTTTGATTTATGAATATTTTTTTTAAATAAATAAAATTGTTTTGAAAGAAAATTTTCATAAAATAACTGAAACAAATCATGTTTGATTTGACACTGTAAGGCGGCTAATTAAAAATAAAACTTCCAAGGAAATTTAAAAAGGAATATAGTATTATTTTGTGTAAAGCCTATCAATTCAGTCCAAGCGATTGAGTTTTGTACAAAGTAGATATTCTCTTTTTGAACTAAGAGTAAATCGTATTCTAATAAATTATTATATTATAGTCGTACTTCATTTTTCAGATTAAAAACATTATAAATTACCCACAAACAGTTTAAAAGAAGGCAAAAAATGTTGGAAAGTAAAACACATAGTGAGTCACACAAAAAGGACGTCAATACAAATTCCATTCTACTATTAGTCACTGCAAATGTAGGAAGTCTTTTCGAAGATGTAAGTATGCCAATTTCTTTAAAAATAATTAAAATAAAAGTAAATGAGTAACTCCTAATAGTAAAAGCTTATAATATAGCTCATACATCGACTAACTAAATTTCGGAGACAATTGGTTTATTTGCTGATCTTTTCGCATCGTTGATGATAGCGACCTGATGAAAATTGAGTATGGGAACTTATTTCCAGAGAACCTTATCTCCAAGTCAAAATTTAATCTAAACCCTATCTGATATTCAAACGGCTAAAAGTTCCGCGATTGTTTGTGTTGTTGACTAGAAAATAACGACAGTTATGCCAACTTTTATGTCTATTAAACATTATTGGATGACATTTCTTCACACAAAATTGCACACCTTGGGTTTCATTCTGTTTTGATTAAGTGGTGGGTTGTAATCAAGTGTAGTAATGTGTCTGGGTCACATAGTTATATTCAATTTCTACTTCTGCGTCCACGTCGCTTCCCTGGAAAAGTGAGCAATGCTTTGTGCAAGATACGGTTGAAATGTTTTTCTTAAGGATTCCCTGGAGGCTAAGTGCAATGTCTTTTTACAAGAGGTTTCACTGCAAACAGGTATCGGTCTTGAAGCAAGCGGTAATAACTGAGTCAAAACAGTTGCGTGCTGGGCTTGAGACCCGCTACTCAGAAACCAGCATTAATAAAGAGTTAGTAACCCCCATACAAAGAGCGCAAAGAGATGTCGCGTTAGGTAGGTGGAGGTCTGAATCGCCGAGTACTGGGATTCACATGGGTATCTTAGCGAACTTCTTAAATCGCTTATTTACGCCCACGCCTCGACAGAAGATGACTCGCAACTATGTCAATATTGTGCTTGACGACTTCAAAGCCAGGGTGGATATATATGATATCTTCGGCATAAACGGAAAATTCAGCATAATAATGAAAAATTCAAGGTTTTTAATCCCGACTTTCTTGTTCCAAATATACACTACTACTACTACTGTTTTGAAAGAAGGTTTTTTTTTGTTAATTTTGGAGATCTTAAACCTAAAATTATTGTGAATATTTCTCAGTTTTTTAAGTTAGTTTTTTTTCCAGAAATAGTACCAATATAAATTAAAAGCTTTACACACGCATTTTATGACTGCGCAGTTGTATTTCCCTCATCCTGGTTCCCTCTCTGAGATAAGTTAGTAAGTTTTTTATTTTGATTTAATTAAGAGGATTTTACGAAAATTTCTAAGATACAGAAACGTAGCTGTTTTACCCCGCGCATAGTGTTTGTTAGATATGTGGTCAGTTCAATTCTTGACAATGTGAAATTAAATTATTAAAATGACAAAAGTAGTTTATACAAATATCGGCGACCGATTTTGCAGGCTCGAGCTCTCTCCATCATAATTTAGGAAAAACTGTCGATATTTTTTTTTGTATGTTTTCATGCCTTGCACGGCGTTTCTTGTGTCACATGTATCTCCTTTCTTTGTCCCTAATCATCCTAATCACTTAACTTAATTTTTTATTTAAATTAATTTTATATAATTTTTTAGAAGCCTGGCCTTCCGCATTGTTAACCACTCATCTATTTTGGCCGCCAAATTACCGGAACGAAATTGACGAAACCAAAATTGTGCATGCTTGACTGTTACAATCGGGACCTCAAAAATTATATACATTTTCAGCTGCTTGACTTGCATTTTCGCCTTTATTGAAGCACATAAAATTGTCGACCATAGCGTAATTTCTTTTTTTTTCTGATATCCATCAAACACTACTGAATTAAATGATCAACACATCTCGTGTTATTTTATTTATTGTTGTACAAAATGTCATCTTTGTCACACCAGCTAGCTTAATATAATTGCACTTATAGAACGGGAGATATCAATGGATTACTGGATTACATTTTTAATAGACCAACATGTTCTTATGTTGTAATAAATAAAAGAATGTTAAACTTATTCCAGTGTAAAAGCAGTTCAAAGCAACAATTTTGTATTGCATATCTAAACGCTACTAGTTCAAAAACCCGCTTCATCTTTAAGAATTAAAATTAAAATTCCCAATTTGTACACATTTGTATATCTGCATAAGCAAATGGATAGGATGTGTTGTTAAAACTCGTTCCGTAAATAATCTGCAGTGAAAAAACTTTAGAGTATTAATTAAAGTGTTAAGTTTGTGTTGTCACTGACTTGACACCAAAACAATAAACCATTACAGTAGGTATAACAGAAAAAGTGAGTTATCAAAGAGAAATATAAAGCAGCGTATCAAAATAAACTATCTTCAAAACAGAAAAGAAAACATAAAGGCTCACAGTAAATTTCATGTATTGTAGAAAAAATAAGTTATTAAATTGCTTAATATCCACAATGTAGCGTTTTAAGCAAATTAAACCCGTTTTATAACTAAGGATGAGACTTGAATCTACCACCAAGAATTAAAACAAGAACGTTTACAATGGACTGAAGGTGGTAATTTACAAAGGTGTTTCAACAATAACAAAATTCAACGAACTAAGGAACGAATTACTTGAGCATACACAGTTTTTTACCAGAATCCTGAAACCTCATGGAAATCGTTTTCATCGAATGAAGAAACTATTACAGCCGTGGACAGGTTTTTTGAAGAGCTTCCGGAAAGTCATTATAGGTATGGCATAAAATTATTGGAGGATCATACAAGAAATTTGTTTCGTACCAAACGCATTATTTTTTCATTTCAACTAACCTCTAATTATGTTAGAAACGAAAAACTATGATATGTCCGAATGTTTCTTTTCGTATACGGTCTATAATGGATTAAATTCATGTATATACTCCATGGGCATCGCAATGTTAATTCAACCATATTTTTTCTATGGATTGTAGCTAGTTTTGGATTAATTCATTGTCCGATTGGAGTATAAATTTCACGAATGTATGGAGTAGCCACGGTGTTCGTAAAGATATTATGGTACGCATACACATATTTATATACACATGCACACCTATATTCACATGTTAAATTACGCGTAGGGTGCTTTTATTGTTGCTCTTTACTCTTAAAAAGGATTTTGTTTTATTGTTAAAGAACTTTTTCATCTTCCTTCTAGACCTAGCCATATCTTTATTATATAGTCCGCAGTAACAGCACCGCAGCTAGTCTAGTTAAATCAAACAAACAACAATCAATAGATTGTTAAACAAAAACAATATCATCCAATATCATTTAATGAAAAGGTGCGTGTTTGACTTGCACATTTTGCTACTTTCTGAATGTGAAAAGGTTATTTTTTGGTTAACTGTGTTTAATTAATAATATCATGACACATTGCCAAACATTTTGTCTTCGGTAAAAACACTACTTCTCTATCAATCAAAGTTGATAATATATATATATATATATATCAAAGCTTTCTTAATTTTTTTTTTTCAGCAGCTTTTAGTTTTATTTTAGATGATGAGGATCGATTATTTTGCCATTCTCGTCGTAGTCTACATTTCTCGATTACAAGGTAATCAGTTAGGTTTTAGGTGGCTCGCATTGCACACGGAGACTCTATTTTAATTTTGCTGTTGCTACAGTAGCCACAGTATGCCGTTTAAAGTTGCCCTATATATCCATTTCACATATTACTTCAGCTTCCTCTTGTAACTTGTGTTGTCAGGTGAAATGTTTTCTGAACTATAGTTTGTTGTTTGAACAATTTCATCATAACCGGGGAATGATCGGAGGATTTTGCCACCGTTGCTTTTGTTAGATATACTGACACCATGTTGTTATTGTTCTAACCGTAAAAATATTCCCCAAAGTAATATTTGGGGAATGCTGTATGAGTGACAGTCCCTGGCCGCGAGAAAATTCTTGAACCCCTAACCCGCAGCAATGTACTGTCCATAGCAGTTAAACTTTTTTTGGCTATTACATTTTATTGTATTATGTAACCTGTTTAATTATGATACTTCACTATAGACTCATTATCGGGGGAACAGGATACGTAGTTTTCTTCAAATTAAACAAAGTTTTGCTATATATTTGAAATATGGTCTTGATAAATTAAATTAAGTTGTATGATGTTTTAGAAAATTACTTATTAAACAATTGTATATATTTGGTGCTTGCAACCGCTGAAGCGATTTTCGGAGCTGACATTCCTTACAACTCAGAATCACTCTTGTTAACCGGTGATACTTTGGACTGAGTAGGCAATGTAGAAGTAAAGTCCTCTCTGCCAACGAAGATAAACTCTACAAAACGTTCATCGGTTCCGTTTTCATATATGGTGCGGAGGGATCGACGTAAGATTTGTGGTCGTCTAAGAGTTGGGAGCGGCGAATACCGTAACCGTTAGGAAGATGAGTTGTATACGGCGACATTGACATTACTCAGTGAGTCAAGAAAAAATTGTCGGAATTATACATACATAAGGAGTACAAACGCCTGCAGTGGTACTAGAATCGCAAGGTGCTTAGAACCCTTAAGCAATTTAAATGTGTTCAAACTGAAGACACATTTGACAGCTACTAAATTACCTGTCTCTCTGTAAATATGGCTTTTATTCTTCTGCGAAAAATTCAAAATACTCTTCGCTTAGCTAGCAATTTTTCGAGTGGTATACGACAACCGCTCATCAAGCGATAGGAAATATTGTTAAAATAACCACCGAAAATTAAAATCGTTAAAAGTAACGCCAAGTTATTTACTTCGCAGTCACCAAAAACGCAGATAGGAGTTTAGTATTTGTGAGCCTACGCCATATAACAGCGAAATTTGTTTACTGTTTACGAAAAAGCGACGCTGACCTCGAGAATTCCTAAATTCTACTTAGGCTTACCGAAATTAGGTTAAAATCTACCAAAACTCCTGAAACCACCTGCGCTAGAGCTGAAAAAAAGACGACTTGTTTTGCAGAACACCTCAGTAAGGTATTCCACCTAAATACTGCTTCAAATAATAATGTGCCCCGGACAGGTTATCGTGATTCCTAAGATATACTATTTTCTACGAAACATTATTATCAACGTCATATCCAAAAAAAATACCAAACATTGCAAAGCTTTTCAGAGCTATATTGAAACTCTTATATCATCTGTAAATATGGAAAAGTTCGCAGATAGGTTAACCATTTAAGCACCCAACCCTGCTGTCAGAAAATTAAAATTTCAATAAGGTTTTATTTTATTAGCACATTATGGAATTTATGTTGAATCCAAAAGTCGGTTGACATGTAAATGATAAAAAAATAGCCTTCTTCTTTAAAAAAATTTGTGGATCGACGGTTCTCTCGACGGAGGAGTGTGTGTTGTGGTATTTCGCAATGACAACTTGCCTCCAATTCACTAGCCTCCATTGTGAGGAAAGTTGCCAAACAGCATTTCAACCTTAGCGCGAAATATTGTGTACACAACAACAACCTGTAAATATAATCGAAAAAAAGACTTTAGTACAGAATAATTGAAAATGTTAGTGAAGCTAAGCAGTAACATTATAGTATGTCGATGGATGCACATAAAGCGAATATAGCTGTGTGGGTAGAGTTACTTTATTAGAATAAGGATTGAAATATTATTAAGTCATTGACGAGAATAGAGTGTGTTATCATTATTGTTGTTTATGGATATCATAATTTGACCGGGGCCAGTAGACATAATTTGACTATTTTTAGTGTTATGGCTCGGTGCTGAGTTTTTATATCTACAACACGAACATCTCCATCGCCAGTCATCTTTAACAATAGCTCTATCTCCTTCCTATATGTTTCTTTGGAGTGTTTTCTACTTACTACTTTCTGGTAAGGGAAAGGAAGCTCGATCGAATCTCGTGGATTTGGAGATATATCAGACGGAAGCCTGATTGAAAGTTCTCAAATGAATGAGCATTTATTTCGTGGATACAATTTGACTTCCAACAAAATAACCACAGTTGTATATACTTATAATATAATATAATATAATTGGCGCTTTGTAACCGCCGAAGCGATTTTCCGCCGGGCTCTTCCTTCAACTTGTGGTTTTGCGTTTTGATGTTTTCCCAGCAAATGGACCTACAGTTTATACTAAGCCGCCTTATAAGGAGCTTTATTTCATCTCAGAAATACACTCAGAGGGGTTGACATTCCCTGCGTGGGGCGACCGCAATTGGAAAATTCAGCTTAACTTTTATTAAAATTAATTTTCTATAACTTTTGGATGTTGGTCGCACGGGGATTTAAACCCGAGCTTTCCAAATGGCAGAACGCAATGTATATACCTAAAATTACTTAAAATTCATTGAAATAAATAATATTTACATTCATTACATTAAATAAGACTTAAAATTTGAACAAAATTTCAAATGCTTCAATTAATGATTTCTATTCCTTGCTCATTACTTCCTTCCATTCTTTGGAATTTTTCGAATTCATTGCCTATTTTACCGTTTCAGATACTTCTACATTCTCATTGCAACATATTGCACTAACGATATTAGTCTGTTCTCGAAGTCGTCCTGCTTTGCGGCTGCGAACGATTCTTGGTTTTCCTCGACCTATCTTTACATTGTCATCTATCGCTGCTATCGTGTTGGTGGACTCTTGATATTCTTGTGGTAATAAATCACATTCCTCACCTCCATCGATATCTTCTTCTATAAAATTTCGGGTAAAATCACTTTGGCTCCATTGCATATTCTTTTAAGCCGCCGTCCTCGAACTATAAGTCGCTTTTTGACCAAATCTATTTCTCACAATTGCAAACTTCTTGTTAAAAACTACTGAGTTTGCAAGTTCGACAGCTCTACTTACGGATAAATATTGCTTCGTTAAGTATCAGTAAGTATAAAAATTTGTGAAAAGTTACCTTAGACTGTCCAAATTTCAACGTGATGTTTCCTTTTCCTTTGGCTTCTATGAAATTTTTACCTGATAAAATTACATTCTTGTAATCATTGTCAAATACATACATCGAACTTTTTCATATCGCAACATATATGTGATGTCGCTCCACTATCGATGTACAAGAGCTGGAATCGCCTTCTGTTCATCTTGTTGTTCCATTGATAAATTCTTCGCTTGTCTATACAATTTAGAGCAATATGTTCTTTCTTTCCGCAGTTAAAACATTTCACATTTGACCTCCTTGCACGTTTCTTTTGTTCTTGTGTTTTCTACCCTTTGTCTCGCGCTGTATAAGCTTTTTCACTAACATTACTTTCTGCATTTCGATCAAGTTCACTTCTCCGATGACCTTGTTCCATTGGCTTTGCCTTAAATGTATTCAGCGTTGGCAATATGTCTCGCGTGTCTATTGCGACAATAAAAGACTCATAAGACTTCGGCAGACTCGATAGTAACTATTGCTATTCTCATCTTGAGACTCCCATTTTGCAATTGCCTCTGCAAATATGCAGTGGGAGTTGCCGCTTCATTCGCTTGCAATTTCCCAGTGCTCACAATGTACCAGAACGCTTTTCATTAGTAAATTTCACGATTCATAATTGGAATCATTAAATTTTTCTATTTGGCAAAACAAAAAGGAATTTCAAAAATTTCCTCCTTAAAACTCAGTACAAAAAAAGGTAGAGAGAATTTCTCCTCAGTACACTACAGGCGATTTTTAAAGCTATCCTTTGCCACATCGTCCTTCTTTACCGTCGTGACGTGGCAAGTCAACTTTGCGTTGAAAATTTTTGTTCAGAGACGGATTGTTATGAGATTTTCATCAACCGGAGTGAATGCCAGTACTCGGTGACGGAGTCTCTGACCCACCACAAATCTGACACCAATTTGCGCTCCTTTTCTAAGGAACCGCCTTCTTTCGTCCTTGTCGCGTCCATCGCACTTCTTGGACGACAGTGATGTCAGCCAAGCTGGGTAGCGGCTAAAATTACCCTATTAAATTTTTTTGGCTATATATGAAAATTATTCTAATTTAGCCATTAAAATTATTTTTACTATTTATATTTTTTTATTCATATAAATCTGTTAATTCTTATATTGTAGATTTTCATATCATTGTTGCACATAATAAAGAAAAAGATATTTTGATTTCAAAGGTTTTTAATTCGTGTTTAAAATTAATGAAATATACTAAATACCAGGTAATACACCTACTATGTCTCTTATTTTTGGACTCGTTTTTTTTTTTACCTTTCTCCTGTTTTTTTGAATTTGACGCTCCATTTTCCCAATGTGGTAGAGAAGAGCGAACTTATGGAGTCGCCACTTTAATATTAAAAGCATTAAGTAGTCTTGTACTATGGATCCTGTGCGTAGCCGTTGAATGCATTTCCTACATGGGAAATGAAATTGGAATTATTTCTCTTTTCTAATTATTTCAATGGGTGACTTGGTTCTCATATGATTCGGGTCAAATATTCCCCTAATACCGCGATATATTTGTCGCGCAACTAAAGTGTTCTTTCTAGCATACATTCTATACTTAGCTACTGGTGCTGAGCTGCAGGACGAGTGTGGCCAAGGAAATTTATTTAAACATTATATTGATATAATATACTTATAGAGCGACTCCGAAATTATATCGGCCCGCAAGGGCGCATTGTGATGCTCAGGTATATAGAAATTCAAAACAAACAGTCAGTATACGCTCAAGGAACATGAATATGGATCGAAAAGAAAAGAAACTCAACACAAGATATTCTGGAGATCCTGCGTTGAAAAAAAAATTATTGTAATAGACTTTTCCCCGAACAAAATACAAGTTGTGCTAGTACTTATGCTCAAAAATTAAGAAAATAAGATGATTTTGAGATGGACGACTTTTCAAGAGCGCAAAGAGTGGTCTTGACATCAAAACTAAAACTGGCTACATCCAATGAGCTGTTCAAAAGGTCGCGCTGATTCCGAATGAAGTTGATCTGTTTCCAGACATATCAATGAAGATATATTTTTAGAATTGACCACTATTTTTATTCGACTTCTTCGTCTCTACTGGCGCAGACACCGATTACATGATTATAGACGAGTTCTTTAGTTCTTTTCTTCTGTTCGCTGTTTGGCGTTAGTTGGTCTTTCCAACGGATTGGGGTTTTGCATGTATCAGGATGACATGACTTGGGCGGCGCATCCGCTGTTTCTTGTATCTGCCGTTGTTAAGCCGGGTTTGGGCTTGTGGGAAAGTGGAGGTCAGATGAGATGGTTTTAGGGGACATGTAAAGAGGTAGTTGGTGTCCTATCGGGAAGCCGTTCTGTCGAATGGTTAAAGTAAAGTATTCTCAGCAAAAATTGCTCGCAAACTCGTTGCATTGTGGCTTCGTTGTGCAAACGATGCTCTGGCGAAATTAGAAAGTTTCCTGTTATGGTTCTGATGGGAGCAGTATAATTTAAAACCGACCTTCTAATTGCCTTGTAAGCAGCACCGTTTCTCAACTTTTGCGGCTATAGAGTTTTGTGGCAATTGTTGTCGTGTGCCGAGTGAAGGATTGCGGGCTGTCGAATGAGACAAAAAATAACTTCGGGTTTTTATAGTCGGAATTTTTATGCCATCGACTTTCACATTGAGTTTGAGTTTGAGTTAAGACAATATCGTTGTATTTGCCTTGCAGTGAAGAAATGTGAAAGGTCGTCGAGATAGCAGTTCTCGGACGAATATGAGTCATCAACATCCTGACCTGAGATCAGGGAAACCTCTTTTGTTAGTGGAGGTTAGCTCGAGACATAAAGTTAAACAGAAGTAGAGAATCTCTTGTTCAATCTTTTTGAGTTTGGATATTTGACCCCGATTTCTACCCACCCAGGTAGCCCATAGCCCAACTTTTCAACTTCGGTGGTCTCAATTTTCGATAATAGCACTGAATGATTGACAGTCTTAGATCCAGTTCTACCAGGACAGTTCCCGTGCAGGGCCGATTTCGGTTGAGGCTAATAACTGTCTAAGTCGGAAGTCTACGGAAGCTATACTGATATGCTGCTGGACTCTGGTGATGCGTGAAAGTCAGAAAGGCCTCAAGGGTCTTCGCTACTGGGGTGAGGAGAGATATTGGCCGATAAGACTTTCCTTTCCATTTTCCCCATATAGTCAGACAAAAATTGAAGACCTTGGTAAGAAAATCTGCTCCCGCTGGTCGTAGATGTTTTATCATCAGCATTCTTATTTCGTCAGGGAAGACGGATTATGGGGTTTCGCTTTGCCGATGACCCCCTGAATTAGAGTGTGGCCCAGAACTTGAGAGGACGAGGAGGTTACAGGTCCTTAAGTGTTCCCCCACAGGTTCTTCTTGTGAATGTAAACATGACGCCCAACACGTCTTTGAGATCTCTGATGAGGTTATTTCCAGTATCGACATGACGAATGGAGGCGTGCCTGGGTGCTAGAATATCAGTCTGGAAACTGAGGTGAATTCTCGCAATTAGGCATACCGTGACGAAGCGGGTAGTAGTAGACACAAAATTTCTACAAAGTAAACATTCACCTCTGGAATCCACGGAAACGAAGTCTGGAAGAGATTGGTATGGGTAAATGGTCCGATGCTAGCATCAGTGTTGGTCGCCAGTCCATGCTGTTTAATAGGCCAGCACTCGCAGTTGTTACGTCTTGGGCAGTTACTCACAACTTTGGTGAAGGCTTCATCGTTCATGGTGCATAATGTAAAAACGTCCATCTGTTTTGCCTGCTCCATACTTCTACGGTTATTTGACAGACTACAATGTCAGAGATCGTGGTTCACGTTAAAGTCGCTTAAAACTAAACAGTTTTCAGCTCTGAGTAACGCACTTCTATCAAGGCGGTATCCAACCGAGCATCCACTAACTGGAAAAATGCTTGGCCGGATAGCTATGCCCTGATAATTGGAGTGGGGAGCTATGTGAGTCTGCTGAAGGCAACATCGTCAGCACCTGGGGCATTTGAGCGTTGGCTTGGACCACTGCCCATGTGTCTAAAGGGATAAGCAGGACTTAAGATTACTCTAACTAATGCAAGTAATCCGTCGGACCAGGATTGGGTTCGACGCCAGCCTTGATGGGAAGAATTTGGAGGAACCCAGACTAACGAAACATGTTGATCTAAACGGAGTTAGATCGCTGAAGCGGTGACAGCCTTTTGGCGGATAAAATTGTTGTCTACTTCGTTGTGTAGAGCCGTGAGTATTTTCGCCATATATCTCGTACAGCTCATCGTTCAATCGACTGCGGTATTTACTGTTCCTAACTAGTAGAGGACCATAAATATTACCCAAAACTTATCTCTCGAAAACTACTAACGTAGACTCATCAAATGTTGTTATCATCCAAGTCTCCACAGGACGGACGATGAGTGACTTGCACAGTTTGGCCTTCGTTTGCCGGGATGGACTTTACTTTTTAATTGCCTACTCAGTACAAAGTAGCACCTGTGTTGGTAAGAGTGATTATGCGTTGGATTTCCAGTCTGACATTGTTGTTGGAGTTAATATTGGTCCAAGATAGACGAAGTGTACGACTTCAAAGATATAACTATTAACAGTGACGTAGTAGTTAAGTCGCGAATGGGATGACTGTTTCTTGGATGATAGGAGATATTTCGTCTTGCCTTTGTTCACTACCAGTCCCATATCCAGTCTGGAGAAGTAGAACTTCCGGCGTGGTTGTTCACACCAGTAATGTCTATATCATCGGCTCACGTTAGCAGCTCTTACAGAAAATTATACCTTCTCTATTCAGCTCGACAGCTTTCATAATTTTCTCTAGCAATAAATTAAAGAAGTCACACAAGAAGGAATCATCTTGCCTGAAACCTCGTTGGGTATCTAACTGCTCGGAATTGTCTTTCCGATCCTGACAACGCTTTTGGTGTTTACATAGCGGTATAAGGCAATAGTCGCTCCGATTAATTATTGTTCTGGTTTTGCTTATAAGTGAATTCTCTGAGAATATGGTGGTGCTGAATTGAAAAAAAACCTTTATAGGGGAACAGCAATTTTTATTACAGAACGTGTTGAAATTGACATAGCCATCAACGAACCGAGCGGATTATATTAAAAATAGTTATTTGAAAGTTTTTCTTTGCAAGCCCGAGTCTTAAGAAAAGAAGTTTCATACTTCGGGGTTGTAAGAACTATTGCTATCTAACACTAACCATATTTGGTAGATAAATTGATTAAGTTGTTTCCAAACCTATCATTAATATAACAGAAAACGCACTCAACAATTTCAGTGTTTATTTGAATAACTGTTTTAAAACATTCCAACCAATGATGACTTCGGTCCACCTGACTTTTAAACAAATAAGGTCTGTATATTAACGCGACTTTTAATTATTTGTTAATACTAAAGAATTATCATAAAATTAAATTTTAATATATAATATACATATATACACATATATATATATATATATATATATATATATATATATATATATATGAGCTCTTAATTTAAAAGAATTAAAAATAATTTAAAATTTTATATTATATCCTAGCCTCTGACATTGATGCAGATTTGGGTTGACGAATTTCTAACAACAGCAAGGCAAATATGTCCACATTTCATAGCACTCCACTTACAGGAAGTGGGCGGTAAAATATATGACAAATCTTCAAATCAAGTTAAACGGTTTGTCGAATTACTCTGTGAAGGGCTCGAGAAGCAGCAATTTTTCATTTTCCGCATATATATGGATGAAAATATCAACGCCAGTGAACAGTTTACGGTGAATAATTTAATCAACTTTAATTTTTAAGTGCATACTCTAAATGTATTTTCTTTCCAGGCTTTGGGAAATTTATATTTCTGTCACCGAACTTTAGTCCGGAGCTGTATCTGGAATTTTGAAATAAATTCGTGGGAGCCCACTCAAAGAGCTAAGAAATATTTCGGAAACATTGAGACCATACCCACAAAAGAGAAATCGAAATTTCCGCTAGAGTTTTTCCCAGATGTAAGTTACTTTCAGTAAATTTAAACCTTTCAACATACTTTAAGCAATTCTAACACTCAAACCACTTTTGGCTTAATTAAATATAATAAACTATAAATTTTTATATATGATCGGAGCCTTTTATGAAACCATAATTAAGGTTCAATAAATGTTCAATAAAGAATAAAAAACCAAAAATATAAAATCATAAAAATTTCTTACATTACATTTATGTATTTATATAGTTTTATATAATTAATTGTTTCAAAATACTTCGACTCTCTTCTAATCATGGACGGTTCAGTTTATTTCAGTTCATGGTTACCGTCTGTTCGTTTATGGTATACCAGATGTGTTAGGTATAGCCAGATATAATTCATACTTCTACAATAGTTTGAAGAATATTGCTGTTCTCTTTGCAAAATGAAGTACTCATTGCTGACTAAAATTTCCTCAGCTTTTCTGCGGCCAGTTAGGCTTTGTCTGAAAAAAAGCTGGGCAGTCATGGACAACGTGCTGCGATTCTTCAGCATTATGTTGGCTTCCACAGTCTATCCAACTGGCGAAGCATGATTGCTTCTTGCGCTTGCTCCAATTCCCTGCGTGGACTGATAGGTTCACAACTGCGGCTTGTTCTGAGAAGACACCCTCCTTAGCTTAGATCAGAAGTTATTTGACCTTCATTGCCTATATACAATAGCTTGGCACCCATTAAATACAGATCCTTCCTTTATCAAACAGCTCTTTTATCACCTATTCCTCTGAAGGCCTATCCCCTGTAGTAGCTCTTTCGCCAATTTTAAAGTCATATTTTGGAAGATGCTGCAATGGTTTTGCAGTTTAAAATATGTTTTTATCTAGTTGTGCGCAGTAAACAGTTCTTGCCGTTTATTTTAGAGCCATCAGTAAATATATGAAGAGTTGCAGTCTGCAGGGAAAATGTGAAAAGTAACCTTAAGTAAACCAATTTAGCAAATTAATTACTCTTTTTCCTTAAAATTCTATTCTGCCCTACGTATCCCTATATGTCCTCAACTCATTTGCGTTCTACGTCCGCTTATCCGTTAGTTTATTACCCTATATACTTCCAACCTAAAAAGAGCATAAATGTGTTCTATATCCGACAGCAAAAAATTCACAGAATATGACGTAACGAAAAAATTTAATAATTTGAGGACGCATTTAAATGCATTTCTTCCTCTAGTCCAAGAAGCGAAAACATAGTAACGATGGGATAGTTATAAATCAAGTTACGGTTGCTTTGAACGCTCCAGGAAATCCATTAATCAGTCTTTGACGAACACAATCCTCCACACCCATTAGGTTGCATACCAGGAGCTACAGCAAAGTCATTGAAAGTAACAAGCAATCAGATTTCAAGCTCACTCCCTCCTGTACTTGCCCCACCTCCTTCTACTACTTTGCATATATCAGGCAAATTAATTCCTGTCAGTTTGGATATTAGGAAGTTCAATTTCTCCTATGAAAGATCTATAGATTCCTCTTAAATACATAGATGTTTCGGCTGATTGCTTTGACGTACTCTTGAACTCATCCTTTTGACCGAATTAAATATTAGAATCAATTCAAATATAAAAAATCTTGTTTTTTCCGACACTTGGCTTAAAAAAAAATGTCTGCAACTCTGAAATCTTAGGGAGTAACTTTGAAACTTTGAGAGGTGACCGTTTAAGTAAAATTAGTTGTGAAGTACTAACTGGTGTTCAAACTGACCTTGGTGCTGAAGAAATTTATTTTGCGAAATCAGAAGCGATGAATATATTCTGGGCAGTTATATCTGCAAAATTCTGATTCATATTTTTGAATAAGTCTCGTTACAAGACGTATATGACGAGAATTCGAATTAACGTTACTATAAATAATTCAAAACTCAAACCGTAATAGTCCGTTTATGCCGAGCGTAAATTCTGTGTCTGTGTTTCCACTGGGTGTTTACTGAGTTTAGTGTTTGAACTGCCATTTATTTTTGTTTACTATATATATTCGGCGAATTGTAACCGCTGGATGGACCTATAGTTTATGCTACGGAATTATAAAATTTGACTTATTTTTTTATTTAATTTAATTTTCGATAACTTTTGGGATGCGTGTAAAACATCGAATGGCATATTTCTAGTCCCATACAGTCACATATTATTGACAAAATGCCAAGCAGTGCTACCGTGATAGGAATGAAATAACAAAAAAGAAAAAATGACGTAAAATAGTCATTGTTGCCAGTCGCAAATACTGAAAAACATGCAAACTCAACTGTGAGGTGAGTTTGTGTTATGAGATATACATATATAGAATTTGACAAGTGTTTAGAGTGGTGTTTGCGATTAAACACGCTAGCGACTGCAAACACTTCTACGCTCCCGTCAGCTATCAAGTGATTGTTACAGAATCGCAGACTTTTTCGAATCAAATTATGCGCCGAACACAAATTCAAACCAGCCGATACTTGATTTGATTGAAAACAAAAAGTAATGTAATCAATAATCATCAATAGCATTCGAAATTTGGTTCTTCTTTCTAAAATACACATGTAGGCAGATGATGCCAAGTTCTTTAAATCAGTTCATTCTATTGAATATAGAGATCTTTCACAACTTGATGTGAACTGTATGTCCCTAAATTTAAATAAGTGCAAATATATGTATTTTTGTAGAAATCACAGTGTTGAAAGGATTACTGACTTCATTGATTTAGGTTTCACAATGTACCCTAAGCCAGATTTTAGAAATCATATAAATGCTTGTGCTAAAAGTAGTTTTAGCTTTCATTAAACGTTGAGCTAGGAGTTCTATGAACCCATACATTACCAAGTTACTCTTTACCCCACTTATTAGGCCCATTTTCGAATATAGCTCAGTTGTATGGAGTCCGCACTATCAATTTTGTAGTGACAAGTTGAAATCTGTACAAAACCAATTTCTATTATTCGCGAAAGTAAATTTAAACTGGTATGCGAACAAGAACCTGTTTTCTTGCAAAAGTCGTTTATTGCTCATTAATCTGCCTACACTCCACAGTCGTAAAAGGATGCTTGGAGTTTTTATTTCAGCGACTTTACTTCGCCATCCACTTTAGGCCCCTTTCATTGGGCTCAGGTAGAACAAACTTTGAATTACACAACCCTTTTAGGTCTTTGTGTAACGATTATAATACACATTTGACCAACATTGATTCCTCGGACACGCTTTTCGAGATCAAATCCCACTTACTGAGTACTTAATAAAAAGTACTCAATAATTAAATGAATTAACTTTCCTTTTCCCCACGCATTTTTCAACTGAATTTTGCTAGTGAACAAATCAGTAGCTGTTTAGTGTAATAGGTAAGTGTGACTGCGACCTTCCGCGATCGGTGTAGAGTTCGGTGCAGTCAGCACTGTCACTGATTTCCGGTCACCGCACCGTTCGGATTTTCGATAAGAATCAGAGATCAGAGGCGTTGGCACCGCTTACGCGATTATAGCTGAATACGCACATTTAGTTTTGCAACAAAACAAAATAAAATTGAAAAATTCTAATATACTAAATTTAATAAAACTTGAAGATAATCTAAGACCGAATTAGAAAGAATTTTCTGAAGCGTTGCTTTTACTTGTTAAAAGACAATTTGAAAATGATAACATTCATAATGCTAATGTTTAACTTCAAAATGAGTTAAATACTCTTCAAAACAAATTCAAAATAAAATTTTTGATTCATTTATTAAATCTCAAATTTATCAAAGTTTCAAAAAAAAAAAACTTTCTATAAACGTTTGTACACCAATGACGAAAAAATATTTGCTGGTTTCATCAAAAGTTAGAAAAAATGCACACAACCTTATAGTTTTAAATCAAACACAAAATATTTCAAATAAAACATTTTTGACTTACTTACTTACTTTATTGACGTAGGCACCGCTTACGCGATTATAGTCGATTTAACAACATTGTGCCATTCGTTTCTTTTTTTTTATGCTGCTTGACGCCAAATGGAAATACCAAGTTCTATTAAGATAGTATTCCCATCCATCCGGACCATATGACCTAGCCAGCGTAGCCTCTGCATCTTGATTCGCTGAAATATATCAATGTCGCCGTATAACTCGTGGTCGATTGGACCAAAGGGAGAGGGGGTTAGGTGAGTCGGTTTAAGGGGGCGTGTGAAGAGGTCGTTAGTGTCGTGCGGGGACTCTCCACATGCCGGGCATATGTAAGATATGCTGAGGTCGAGTCTGGATAAGTAGGAGTTTAACCTGCTACAGTATTCAGACCTGCGTTGTGCCAAGGTCACGCGGGTCTCTCTCATTGGCTCAACTCTCATTGGAAAGGCATCTTTGAAGGTGTTGACTGACTCCTGGTGAATGGTGTTCAGTGCCTGTCTGTACGCCGTCCTGTTCAGCGGTTGTTGTTCATGTCACTGGATTGTGTCCTTTAGATCTAGTACTCCTTTTTTGATGTGCTGTAAAATCCCAATAGGAACTGCTTGCACAGCAAAGCATTATGCTTCTCAACCCATAGCATAAATGCTTCGACGTGCAAGTGATGCTCCGGCGAAATCACGAGGTTTACTATCGCAGTCCTGAGGGCGGTGTTCTGGCAGGCCTGTAACTTCTTCATCTGTGTCTCGTTTGTCCCCGGCGCCCAGATCGGCGCAGCATAGCTTACGACCGGCCAGACAATGGCTCAACTCTCAAGCCAGCCGGTTCTACGCACCGGAGTTGACCCGGATTTTCCGGCCAAGGGCTGTCACCCTTTCGGTGACCATTTAGGTCATCAGATGCTCTCATCGTCCATGCTTTCGCAGCATGAACGGGAACAATGAGGGGCTTGTAGAGTTTTGTTTTCGTTCATCGTCATTCCAACGAAATTCTGATCTAAAATTTTCGGCTTCAAGCCCAAAAGATTTAAAACTAACTTATGAGTACTTTAAATGAACTTTTATCTATTACCTGAATACACCAAACACCATACAGTTCAGATTATTAAAACAAAAGTGATTTTTCCACTCCATAAACCTAGTAAT